TAATGGAAAAGCAACAGCAGATGATGGAAATTTTCGGTCAGGGAAATAAGGTTTTTCCAAATCTTCATCATCAAATATAAAATTCCTGGAGCAATCTTTAAGAGATTTTACTTCTTGAAGTCTTTTAAGAGGTACTTTTCTTTCTTGAAAATCTGAATATAAGATGATTGCAAATGACTTCCCATTTTCATCCACTGTGATAGATTTTATGCTTGCTTCACAAAGTGTGCCATTATCTGGAGAAGGGGCAAGACATCTTTCTCCTGGATGCCATATGTCTGTAATAATAAAGAAGAAAATAAAATTTCCAAATCTACCTTATAAAGTAACCCCCCATTTATCCACCGCTATGAGAAAAAAAAAATGTACCTCACACGAATACCCTTTCCAAATTACTGAAACAAGCTAAATTATAACATGTATAGATATTCTCCTAAAACATATTATCAGATGTTCTCCTATAATAAGCAGAATAAAGGATATATAATTTATTTCCAGTGATTCTCACCCTGGCTGTGTGTCATAATCTCCTCATACATGCTTGGACACTACCTCTGTTGATTGTGGTTCAGTGGCTATGGGCCATGGGCATCTGGTTTTATGACTTTGTTTGGTGGACACTGTTGAATTCAAAGGGCCATTCTGATTCACAGCCAGGGTTGAGAACCACCGATTTAGATATTCATGATGATTCGTGAACATTATGTATATTATTCATGATATGGTAGACTAATAGTAAATGGGACTTGATAATGAGCAAGCTAAAATCCTCTAGACAGCAATGCTTTTGTGATTTTCCTGTCTGCTTTTTCCCATCTCCTTTCTCTGGAGACAGCTGTTACTTCTTGTCAACATTGCTGCTTCTTTTTAAAAAAAATTTTTATTTTTCATTTTTTTCTAGTATCACTGCTTCTAAACTGTTCCCTGAACTTGTATACAACTAACCAAGGGAATCTCTAATCCAACCACAGAGTGATGAGTGCCAGCTTTGTCACAGCTTTTCTCCCTTCTATGTTTTAAAGGCTTGCAGTTCTTTAAAAAGAGATGAATTCTAAGATCTCTTTTATGCTAAGATTTTATTATTCTTTGAAAAGTCTGACCCTTTTCTCTGTATGTATTTATTCCGTGCTTAATTGTACAGCTTTCAATTTTATTTTCTTTTTTTTTTAAAGATTTTATTTCTTTATTTGACAGAAAGCAAGTGAGAGAGCACAAGCAGGGGAACGGCAGAGGGAGAGGGAGAAGCAGCCCCCCACTGAGCAGGGAGCCTGATGCGGGACTCGATCCCAGGACCCTGGGATTATGACCTGAGCCGAAGGCAGAAGCTTAACCCACTGAGCCACGCAGGCGCCCCGTCTATTTTATTTTCTATTCAGAAAATATAGCACTATGAACAGGGAGGGGAGTATCTTTAGAGCATACAACTAGTATAATTAAAAGATACCAAATAGAGGAAATTAAGTAAAAATAATTTTCTAAATGGAATTTCTTATAGCAAGAATTACAGAGGAGTTGTATGGCTACAGATGTAAAAATACTAGGAATTATTTTTCTCACATATTTCTTATTGAGATCAGATGACCATTAGTAGTTTCTTAGGGTCTTTCCGATGATTTCTTGTTAGGTTTTTATAACATTTGTGATTATAATATGACTAGTATATTTACATTCTCTTAAGCACGAATAACTCATTATGCTATTCCTCAAAAGTAAAACCATTATTCCCACTAACTTTGGTAAGGTTATTTTGCATAACAATTAGAAGTACACCAGGAAAAATCTGTTCTCCTAATCTTTGGATCCAAACGGTTTGAGAACTGTCACACAATTCTAAAAGACACAGTTTTAATATGAAACTAAAACCTTGATCCATTGTACAGGGATAACAGATTAGTGGGCCCTATTTTCGTACCAGTACCATTTGAGCCTTAAGAATTAACCCTTATAGCAATTCTTAACACATTATTTCTGTTTCACATGATTTGTTTGCCTATCCAGAAAATGCCTTCCAATTTTTAAGGACTTAAGTCATTAATGTGTTTATTATTCAACATACACATTTTAACACCAATTACCTACAAATATACAGTACCACACAATAGGTATAAAATGAAAAAAAATGTCAAAAATGATATTGCTTAAACCTTGCTCTTTCCAAATCTCATTAAATGGCATCATCATCTAGCCAACTTTTCATGATAGAACACATTTAGCCAGCCCTTATTCCTCTTTTTATATTACTCCCTACATCCAATCCATCAGAAAGTCCTGCTGGTTCTCCCTCAAAATTTATCACTTCCCTCCATCATGCTACCACCTCTGTAAAACAACTGTTGGCAAACTTTTTCTGTAAAGAGTCAGATTTGGGCTATTTATTATTTTAGTTTTGCAGGCTATACTGTCTCTTACCCTTGTAACACAAAATCAGGGACAGAGAACACATAAACAAATGGGCATGGCTGTGTTCCAGTAAAACTTTATCTACAATAAGTATCAGGCTGGATTTGGCCAGGCCCACAGTTTGCTGTCCTCTGCCCTAAGGCATGCCACCTTTGGCTTTCTCCTAAATTACTGCTATAAACTCCTAACCATTCTCTCTGCTGCCCCCACCATTTTCCCCCTACAATCCATTTTACACATAGCAACAATACTATTTAAAAATATAAATTACTGGGGCGTCTGGGTGGCTCAGGCGGTTAAGCACCCAACTCTTGATTTCAGCTCAGGTCATGATCTCTGGGTCCTGGCATCCAGCCCCGCGTCAGGCTCCATGCTCAGTGGGTATATGCTTGAGGATTCTCTTCCCCTCCCTCTACCCTTCCCCCTGCTTGCATGCTCTCTCTCTAAAATAAATAAATAAATCTTAAAAAAAATTAAAAATTAATAAATCTTTAATTTAAAATTTTTCCATAGTTATCATTGCATAAAGAATAAAGTACAAACTCCTTAGTATGGCCTATAAGTCCCAGTATGATCTGCCAATACTTACCTCTCCAACCCATCTCAATTTTTCTCTGTACTCAAACATGCTAAGCAAGTCTTTTCTCAGCTGTTTTTATGTCATTTCTTCACCTTATTTAAAGTAGGGTACCCTTTTATTCTGTATCTCAGTATTTTATTGCCTCCATAACTCATATCACAATGTTTAATGACTATGTTTACTTGTTTTTATCTATCTTTCCCACTAGAGAATAATTTCCTTTCCAGGAAAGTGTCTGTATTTTTCAAGTTTTATCCCCAGCCTCGGCACTCAGTAGGCACTCAATAAATGTGCTGAATTTATTAACAAAAACACACCCTTGATCTTACAGATCCTAGATATCTAGCGAGGGAGACAGATACCAAAAAGTTCACAAACACGAAATTGTAGCAAGTGCTTCAGGAGATAAGAACAAAGTGCTATGGAAAAGAGTATTGAAGAAACATAATTTAAAAGGGAAGAAGATCTAAGAAGAGTATCTCTGAGCACACAGCATGTGCAAAAGCCCTATGGGCTTCATACAACAATTTCTGGAAATCTATTTGGTTCCTTAGTTTGAATAATTTCTAGAACTAAACAGATTCAGTTAAGTTTGAGCAAAGGCTGGAACCTCTCTGTATCAAATTCTAGAACAAATAGCTTAAATTGGGAGGATTTCCTGTAGGGTTGAATGAAGGGTCCTCTTTAACGTCGTTTCCTTTCCTCCTTTATTCCAGACTGGTCTCCTTGCTGTTCCTCAACTATGGCAAGCATGCTCCCACCTCAGAGCCCCTGAGCTTTCTATTCCTTCCATCAACGCTCTCCCTAAATACCCAAATGACTGATTCTTTCACTTCATTTAGGTCTCTGCTCCAATGGCATCTCCTCAGAGGTGTTTTCTCTGACCACTGAATCTAAAATAGCACTCCCTGCCACTCTTTCTTTACCCTGCTTAATTCCATTTTTAGAGAAAAATATGGAATATTTGTTATTGTTTATCTCAACTTAGTTCCCTAGAGCAGGGACTTACTTTGTTCACTACTATATCCTGGGCACCTAGAACAACGTTTGAAACTCAAATACTTGTAGAACTAACAAATATTTATACAGAGCTAACATTTGAAGACTTATGTGTGCCAGGCATGTGCTTTATTTCATTTAAGCCTCGCCACTATCCTTTCATGACTTCATGTAAGTAATATTGTTAGTTCCATTTTATAAATGGTGAAACAGATAAAGGTTAACCAACTTGCCCTTGGTTACATAGCTTAAAAATGGCAGATCCTGGATTTGACCCAAGCTATCTGACCTTGTAACTACCATACTGTACCATGCACACATGAATGAACAAGTCCCTGAACTGAGTAGTCCCTGCTCCTTTTAACTGAGGTCTGAGCACCACAGTCACTACAATCTCCACTCAGCAGCTTCTCTACTTTTTTCAACTGCCAGGCTTCTATGGGTAGTTATATTTGTGATCCCTGAGTTATAGTGTCATCAATTCCTAGCCTTCAGAGTTGAGGCTTATTACATAAACCTCTCTAAACTTTAGTTCTGAATTCCTCATCTATTTAATGAGATCGATACCTTCCTCAAAGGAAAGCATGGAGATAAATAATCAGCATATTGCTGGGCACAGAACAAGCACTCAATATCTGATAGTTCTTATTATATCACTTTTAATAATGAAAGCTATTAATACGGGGACAAGAAGGCATCCCATTTGACTTGTTAGATAGCCACACCCTCCTTAAACCCTCTCTTGAGGACCCAATAAAGGTTGACTGTAAGGCCCTGATTCAGTACATCATATATAAGGTCTTTGTGTAATCAAATAATGTGAACTGAATATCTCAACCTTTATTCACCTATGTAACTACAAACGTCTACCATTCGCTAAGAACTGGGGCATACAAGGACAAAGGATAAACATACCACACATTTACTGAATGCTTATTATGGACCTGGGTCACATAAGTGCTTTGCATACACTATCTTATTTCGTAATCATAGGAACTCAGCAATGATCTCCATTTTACAGATGAAGAAACTGCCCAAAGTTGTTCAGCAAGTAACTGTCACAGCCAGTAGTAGATCCAGTCTGACTCCAGAGTCCAGGTTCTCAACACTGAATCCCAAAGAATTGGTGCCAGACTCCGGCTGTCATTCAGAGGAGACACAAGGTAAAATCCCAACCCCAAGGGAACTGGCAGGAACGGGTCCAACCCAGCGCAGTAAAGACAGGTGCCTAGGCTGAGAGGCGAGCTCCGAGCTTGTACCTTTGCCGGCGGTTTCCGCGCGAGGCTTGGGGGCAGAGGGATCCATCCGGCCAGGGGGAGGGGCCGGGCAGCCTGGTTGCGTACAATACTCGGCAGGCAGCCGAGGACCTGAAGGAGGAGGCGGGCGGGAAGACTGAGGCCAACGCCACTTCCTGCAGCCCTTCGTACATCGCCCCCCTGAAGCGCGACGCCAGCGGACGAGAGGGAACACAGGTGGAGCCCGAGAGGGTCCAGGGAGAGGGGAGGCGGCGTCCCAGACAGCGGCAGAGCTGGAGAGCGCTGTGGAGGCTGGCAAGGCGGCGCTCACCTAGTCATCTCGCGTTCCGCCGGGGGAGAAAGCAAGCCGGCAAGCGGACCCCTGACCCTCCCTTTCAGAGTTGGCCCTACCTCTACCTTCCCCTGCAACTTTCAGCCCTGGCTCGGAAAATCCCGCGAGATCAGGCCCCTGAACTGTCATTGCGGTCTCGCGATAACAAAATCTTGGTTCACATGGGCGGAGCAGTCTTCCTGCCTTCTTGGCCCCGGGAAGCCGGTTAACACAAAGGTCCGCGACCGTTGCAAGTATCGCGAAGTTTGATATCGCCTGCCTGCCGGTTGCGCGTCTTACGGACAACAGAGGGATCTGAAGATACCCGTGGGCTCGCACTGCGGCAGTCCTTAAGGGCTGACTTATAGCTGGAGACCGTGTCCGCGATCGCGGCCTGCTGCTGGCTTATATCTAGTACTTCCTCGTGTTCCTCGTGTAGCGCATGCCCAGGAACTTGAGGCGAGTGACTCCCTCCTGGAGCGCTCAGCGGGGTGGGACACCAGCCCGGAAGCCAACGCTTCATGACACTCGCGGGAGACTGAGTAAACTTAGTGGTCACACACTAAAATATAGTCAAAAATAACTCTTATGAGTACAAACCAGCAATACATGCCGTAAATAGAAGATAAAGGTAAAAATACTATGAAAATTTAAAGTGTCCGTGTACCATCCACAGTTAGAATGGTTTGTGAGACATTATGGGAAAACACCAAGCAGGCAGTCGGGCTGTTTTTGTTAAAGCATCATCAGAACAACACATTACTCACAAGTTAATGGATACTACTTTTCTAATACTTTGCCAGACCTTATACGTTGATTCATCCAAAAAAAATGGTTTCTGCACATGTTAAAATGTTTTCATATACTGTAGGATATTTCATTGAACTAGATTTGCTTGAATGGGCCTGTATTGGTTTCCTATTGCTGCTGTAACAAATTACCACAAATTTTAGAGGCTTAGAACAGCACAAGAGTATTAGGAATAACACAAATTTATTATTGTACAGTTCTGTAAGTCAGAATTCTTACTTGGGTCTCATTAGGCTAAAATCAAGGAATCAGCTGGGCTACATTCTTTTCTGGAGGCTCTCCAGAATCCGATTCCTTGCCTTTCTACACATTCCTCGGCTCATGGCCACCTTCCTTCTGTCTTCAAAGCCAGAGTTGTTGCCTCTCTCTGAGCCTTCCATAGTCACATCTTCCTCAGATTGCAGCTGGGTAAGATTCTTTGATCTTATGATCAGATTGGGTCTACCTGAATAATGCAGGATAATCTTCCCATTTGAAGGTCTGTACCCTCAATTATATCAGCAAAGTCCCTTTGCCAGCTAAAGTAATATATTCATGAGTTCCAAGGATTAGGATGTAAACATCTTTAGGGGCTCATTATTCTACCTACCAAAGGGTCTAAATGAGGAAAGCTATGTTTGTTTGCTGCCAAGAGGTATCTATACTTTGAGAGATACTAACAATTAGCAATATGTTTTCATAAAATCCTTCATCTAGAGTAGCCCTTATTTCTGTTTACCAACAGGTAGAAACTTTGTATCTAAGAAAAACATCTAATTTACTCACTATGTGTGAGATGTTGGCCCTCACACATGGTTGAGAAGTTATGTCATTTAACCTCATTGCTTAAGTGTCCTCACCCATGACAACAAAGAGGCAAGTAACAGTAACCTACATGAAAAAGTGTTGTTGTAAGTATTAAATAGGTTAAGTAAAACATCTAAAACAGTACCTGCCGTAGGAAGGAATATGTGGATTGCTATTACTGTTGTTATCGATGGAATGCATCCACTTGAAAGTTGCATTCTACGTAACCATTGCTTCATTTTAATATTTTGGCTAGTAGTTGGTAGTACATTATTACTTAGATTAGAATTTTAGACTACATTCTAACTTAAAACACCATGGATTGTAAGGCATATTATTTAGGTACAGCTGAAAAAAAGAAAAAAACTGCTCATTATGTAAATTGTAACTCTTGATTTTTAACATGCATCCTGATACTGGAAATTTTTAAATGTGGGGGAAAAAATCTGCTTTTTGGAATTGATGAAATATATCTTTTTTACTTAAATTCTATTCACATTGTCTCCAAAATTAATGGCAATTGGAAATTTCAACCAAGCTTACTTTTTTCTTTTTACAACTACCAGAAAAGTTTGATTGTTCCCCCCCACATACACTAAAATAACTAGTTGTGTAATATTGTCTTATTTTTCCAGAGGTCTACTAATTTAAGACCTTGATTTTTTATTTTTTTTAAGTTTTTTTTTTTTTTTTTTTGAGAGAGAGAGAGCATGAGATGAGGGGGCAGAGGGAGAGGAAGAAGCAGGCTCCCCACTTAGCATGGAGCCTGGCACCCTGAGCCAAAGGCAGACACTTAACTGACTGAGCCACCTAGGCACCCCAAGACCTTGATCCTTAAGGTCTGACATCTAAATAGAAGTGATAAAAACAAAATCAGAAGTAAATTTTTATTTAAATGAAAGAGGTCATCTGGTTGAAGGAATACTGGTGACTAACAGAGGAGGAGGGGGCCTTAATTTCTGAGTATTAATTATTTAACCTCACCACCATGTTTATGATGCATAGTGAAGCAGAAAAAATCATGACATAAAAATATGTGTTAGTGAATTAGATGCCTCACAAAATTAGATATCCTTAAACATTCCTTCCCCCACTAACAGTAGTTTTTGTCTAAGGCCATTGCAAGGACATCCTTGTCTAGGTGCCGATGTTGTACACATCTAATACTGTAATGCTAACCACTGCAAAGTGAATTTGAAAGTCTTGCAAAATATTTGGGAATTCCTAAAGTCAGTATAAATGATCTTGGATAACTAGAACATGTGCAAAACCATTGGCAAAGGAGGAGCTAGCAAAATTAAACTTATTAAAACCACAAAAAGAGAAGAAACACAGAGGATGATAGCATAGACATTTCTAAAGAATATTACTTGAATATCAAAGAGACCCTTGAGAAAAATGATTCTAATATTTTATCAAAGAAATTTTTTTGTGTTTGCAATGCAAAAATTAAATATATACCTATATGTGGTTCATAGACCTCCAAAGTTGTGTGTTAATTCAGCAGAAAAGCTCAAGAAAAAACAAAACAAATAGGTGTGTATTTCAGTTCATTTGGCCTGCTATAATAATACCACAGATTGGGTAGCTTATAAACAACAGAAATCTATTTCTCACAGTTCTAGAGGCTGGGGAATCCAAGATCAAGGCATCGGCATGGTTGTGTTCTGGCGAGACCCCTCTTCCTGATTCATAGCTGGCACCTTGGTATGTCGTCATACAGTGGAAGGGGCGAGGGAACTCTGTGGTATGTCTTTAAGAGTACTAATTTTATTCATGAGGGCTCCACATGTGTGTATGTCATCACTTTGGGCACTAGGATTTCAGCATATTAATTTTGAGGGGACATGAACATTCAGATCATCATAGCAATATGAGAACTTTGAACTTTGAAAATTTCTTAGTTAGATGATTTTAGGTTGTAGCATTCCTCCCTTGATAAAATGTCCCAGCCTCTGTGTCAAGGGAAAGAAAGGAAGAATAGATGAGTAAGAGCAAGGTAACATGGTAGAAATAGATATGTCCTTTATCAATAAGTAATCTATAGAGTTTAAAAGGCAACATTATTCAACAATATGAATATACTTAACATTTCTGAACTGTACACTTAAAAATGATTAAGAAGGTTAGTTTTCTGTGTCTGTGTTTTTTTACTACAATAAAAAAAAAAAAAAACCTGGGTCAACAAAAGGACAATTTAAAACTTGAGCCAAGTGTAATGAAAGATACATAGTGAATGGCAGGTTAGTGCTAGGAATGTGATGACTATTACATCTTGAACCTTCACCAATGCCATTTTTACTTAATAGACTCATTGAAGAAATCTCAGAGGTCCTCGATCCAATGCTCTAACTTAAAGATAATAAGATAGTTTGAGAAATGTTAGCTTATTTTACCAAGGTCACAAATAGCAAATAACAAAATCAGGATTAGAATACGATTCTTCATTCTTGTTCCAATATGATAGGTGTATAAAAATACTATTTCATAGAAGATATTTTTAAATTTGAAAAATTAAAACCTATGATTCTGTTTCTTGTACTATTCCATATCTCATGTCATGTAATAAGCCTAAAAATTCTGCAACAAAACACCAAGACCTACAGGTTGAAATACTATTATAAAAACACCCAAAATGCATTGCTGAGAAAAAAAAAAAGAGGTAAAATGCTCATAGGCCAAAAATAAGGAGGAAACTGAAAACCAGCTTACTAAGTTGGCACTTATGCCACTGCTGTACCGGAGGCATTTGCCCATCTCAGTTACAGAAAGGTCTGAGTTTATCTGTCTTATGGGGACAGAAGACATGGTGTGAAGCTCTTACAAGGTCATGATTTGGAACTGAGACCCTCATTGGAAATCAGAAACCCTGAAAGGCAACACCCTCAGTGAAATTACTGGGTAGAAGAAAATCTGGAAAGCAGAAAAGGGGGAGGATGAAGAAGAGAGACTTGTCTGTCATGGCATGGGCTCTTTGGGCCGGGTTGTGTGTGCATTTGTGTGTGTGTGTGTGTGTGTGTATGTATGTATGTGTGTCAATTTCCT